TTTGATGTCAGTGAGGGCCAAAACGGAGTGCGCATGCGCGAAATAGGTAAGTTGCCCAGTATCGCCATCTGAACTTCTCTCTCTTTTCATCCTTTATTTTCCGTTTTGTCAAACTCACATAGAACTTATTATCGATGAGCTCCATCGGAACGATTCCGTGATTGGCGATCCGCTGGTTCCGCTTCCGCGTAATCCGCTCCATAGGATGCCGGCCTTACGATAAACTAATCTAAACTGAATGAAAATTACTACAAATAAATTGTTAATATATTGGAAAAAGCTAAAAATATATAAAAATTTGGAAAAATGAACGATAGTAATTAATTAATCTTAAAATACATAAAATTTATATATACATATAAAGAAATCTACCAATATATATATAAATATATTATACTTAAAAAATATTATTAGTTGTAAAAATGTTATGAAAGTTAATGTAATATATAATTTACTTAAAATAAAATGAACAAAAAATATGTGGCAACATATTATATTTACATAAAAGCAACATACATATATATAGATAAGAAAATTATATTAGTATTAAATATAATATTGTATATCTGTATATGTATATGTATATGTATATGCAAGTGTAAAATAATTTAAAAAATATATTATTAAATGAAATGAGTGAATATATCTGAGAAAAAAATTGACATATGTATATGTCTAAAAAATTAATTTAAAATGTGGAAAATAAACAAATCTATTTAATAAAGAAAAAGAATATATTAATATCTTATGTTAAAATAATTTGTAACGGCGCAGCCGTTACTAACGCCTCGCGGGCCGATCAGCCGCCCGCCACGTGAGGCTTTGGCGCCTAAAGGCGCCCCTAATCGTTCCACACGGGCCGCCCCCACCCCGGGGGCACCCCACCGCGATCCGGCGCGGTACCCCCGCCACGGACTCGACGCGGAGTAGGGGACCGCCGGACGGGTATATAAGCCGGCTCGGCGGACGAGCCGGCACCAGTCCCGTTCCAAATCTCCCAGACCAGGCAACGGGCTTCTCGTTGTGAAAGTGCCGGGTTTCTCGGTCGCTGGTTCCTACCGTTAGTATCGGGCAACGGGTTTCTCGTTGTAACACCGGGTTTCCCGGTTTCCGGTCTCCTCCTGTAATACGCCGGGCGACGGGCTTCTCGTCGTTACACTGGGTTTCCCAGTTTCCGGTCCATCCTGCTATCCGCCGGGCGACGGGTTTCTCGTCGTTACACTGGGTTTCCCGGTTTCCGGTTCATCCTGCTAACATCCGGGCGACGGGCTTCTCGTCGTTATACTGGGTTTCCGGTTTCCGGACATCCTTATAAGGCTATATGCCGCCGTACGTTGGCTTCACCGCTCTCCGTTTGGAATAAAGGCGTTACGCCCGTACCTAGTATCTCCAGCATCGTATACCGGGTAAATTGTAAGTCCCATCAGGACACCGCTATAGGCTATGCGCCTCCACCTGTTGTATCTCCAGCATCGTATACCGGGTAATTCGTAAGTCCCATCAGGACACCGCTATAGGCTATGCGCCTCCGCCTGTTGTATCTCCAGTATCGTATACCGGGTAACTTGTAAGTCCCATCTGGACACCGTTATAGGCTATACGCCTCCGAGCTTGTAAATACACCGGACGCTCCGTTCGAGCCTCACGCTTTGTACATATACCGGGTAGCTCTTAAGTTCTTTGTTCAGGCTTTACGCCACCGGACGCTCCGTTCGAGCCTCACGCTTTGTACATATACCGGGTAGCTCTTAAGTTCTTTGTTCAGGCTTTACGCCACCGGACGCTCCGTTCGATCCTCACGCTTTGTACATATACCGGGTAGCTCTTAAGTTCTTTGTTCAGGCTTTACGCCACCGGACGCTCCGTGCGATCACCGTTCACTACGTATACCAGCGATCCGCTAAACCCGTAGGATGACCTGTACCCTGCTATTAAACATTCTTTTCGTTGTTCTTTTTATTTGAATAAACCCACTATTTTTATATTAAGGAATAAGCGAGTCTGACTTTCCCCCTTCCTCCCGAATCCTGGAACCGGCGAGCCGATCCGCGGCGTCGGGAAAGGTGAACCGTTACAAATGTTATATAAGTATGCTGTCTTCTAAGCCGGGCAATAGAGCCAAGGAAACGAAAACGAAACGAAAAATTAATTAAACGGAACTGTATCTCAATTTGAGATCCCAAAGTTCCACATATAAATTAATTTCGTAACTTACATATGGAGAAATAAGCGAGAAAAATATAGGTCCAAAAAGTCGCTGAAGCGGGAATCGAACCCGCGTCTTTCACTTTCCGGGCGACTGCTCTTACCAACTAACTATTAAAATAATTTTAATTAATAACGATTATGCCAAGACATATTACATGCAATATAGACATTTTATTTTGAAATATGGAAAGAGAATGTTTATTAATGGATAGAATTAAGATCAGATAATGGATAGATTAAATTTCCATTTTTTGTATTTTATTATAGTGTTTTATTTCATTTTGGTATATTTTATTTTTATAACAAATGGAAAATATATGGTAAATGTAATCACGAGCTTTATTGGCCCAAATTGCTTAGTTGTATTCCTTGTTATTTATTCCTGTGATATGTAAAACTGAAAAAAAGAATTAAGAGACGAGAATTAAAAACTGAAAGAAAAGAATTAAGAAAACGTTTAGTAAACACAATACATGCACACACATATACTTATATATTTATTTGATATATATAGGTAACATAAAATTAAAACAGTATACATATATATAATTTGTGACGTGACGCTTTTGGAGCGCCGTCACAAGGGCGAAAACGCCCGATCGGGTAGGCCGCGGAGACCTGGAGCGCCCCTCACTTCGGGGAGGGTGCGATCCGTCGTTTTTTTGAATTTTGTATTACCGTATTTTTGCGAGAATTGCCGTTGCACGCAGCATCGGCCTGTCGATGCGCGTGCGACGCGATTCATAGGTAGAGCGACAAGGACGGCTCGAGAGAGCGGCCGGAGAGAGACATGTTAAGCAAGAGAGAGAGGGAGGATGCCGGAGTGCCGCAGCAAGAGAGAGAAGGAGGATGCCGGAATACCGCAGCGCGAAAGGAGGATGGAGCGAGCATAAGAGAGAGAGAGCGCGGGACCTCGCGCAGTTAAGTATCAAATATTCGTAGTTTAATTTGATATATCTCGCGCAGAATCTAGGCGTTGGCATATTATAGATACCGAGAGGACTCCGGGAGCCAAATAAACCACGGGGCCGATCCTGAAGGGGACTACGGAGGGCCCGGCCAGCCTCCCGTTTGTTCCCGAAGGAGAGAGGCCGCGGGAAGAAACCCGGAGGAAAATCCTGTCGACCAGCGATACATTACCGGCGTAAGAATTACCTCAGCTAAAGGGGAAGGCGGGGGGAGACCTTAGGGCCCCCGCCATCGACCCTATCATCGAGGGATGCGCAAAAGATCGGCGCGAAAAAGAAGGTACCGAGACGCGCGAGGCCCGGCTCTCCACTGTTCGGTGTGCCGTAGAATAGAGAGGGTGCCTCCAGGACTCCCCGAGTGCGACTCAAGGACCCGAGATCACCGCCAGAAACTGTAAGCCGCCTCTCGAGTAGTCGTAGTTACGTGTTGGTTGGTACCGTAGAGATTGATAGTATACCGTAAGTACCGTACTCTCTCATTTTTCGTATCGTTTTGTGTGTGAGAAAGCGGTCTCTCTCTTTTCGTTTTTCGGGATATCGTATCGCGGGGCCAGCCGACTTTGCGTTTCGCGAAGAGAGCCCTCTCCGAAAAGTGCCGCCGACAGTCTATCGTCTCGAAATTAATTATCGTAAATTTGGGTTACCGAAATATTCAGAGTCACGTTTGTATTAGCTCGAGTATTAGATTTTCAGGATTTGCGTGTAGCCGTCTCCGCGAGTTTGTTAACTATTTCATTGTTCTCGACTCGGCGGGAGAGTCGTGCGAGAGAATCACGAAATCTCCGTCATCTAGTGGTTACCTTGTTTTTCATACCGTGCCGTGTCTCGGCATATCGTATTGTGACCTCTGTCTATTCCGCGTGCCCGCGAAAATAAGTTAGACCATCATAATGTTTACCGATTTTGTATTTGTTATTCCGCTTGTATATTATTGTCGCGAAAGTACATAGAATGTTTCACCGTGTATAATTAATACTGATTTTATAAGTCAATTCCGAAAATACCGTTACTCACAGATTTTATTATATTCTATTTCTGATTCGCTACCGCTAGTTTATATCTTACTGTTTGTTACATAATTTTATTGTCCAATTGTATGTATCCGATGTCAAATTGTAATTCCTAAGTGTCAAATATATATATCTGTCAAACTCTAACACCACGTGTATGTCTCTCGATACCTCTCTCTCAACCATAGACCCATCACTCCTATAGACCCGCGACTCTGTATGACTTTTGGAAAAGTGACGTTAAGTACCGTTCACAGTATTATCGTGGCGCGTTCACACGCGCCTGGCGCCCAACTTTACCGTGAGTTAATGAACGCCCCTAAGGGCGTAGAATTAACTCTTCTGATACCGATTTTTTACCGTTTATTAGTTAAACTTGGAGAATATTTAAATTGAACGCTCCCCTGTCCGAACTTGGCGTTTCGGCACAGGAAAAGACGTTGCACATTATTGCACATGATTAATAAATAATGCATTATATAAATAATAAGCACACGCAATCAAAGAAATATATTATTTCATAAAACAAGAAGATACAATATAATTAGAGAATGCACTTTGAAACAAAAGAAATGTGCAAACATGCAAGATTTGAGTTAAGAAAAGATGTAAAATCTTGGATATATACATAACAGTAAATTGTATGAAAATTATTTCATTGTCCAACTCTTTCTCTGAATCATATCTTAGCTATTCGATCCACCTCGATATGAACCAAAAAAAGACAAAGCCAATGAAAATTGTAAAAAAGCAATAAAACAATTATAATAATTATAATAGGCTCATAAATCACGAATAACAATTATATAATATATTATGAAAACAACGCTGTGCAAAAACGAAAAATCAAATATTAAAAATTATAAATGTAAAATGTTTAGAAGTTTTCTATTTTTTCGAGTATTTCTTTTACGCGACTTATTATGCTGCGATAATGTATAATAAATGCGCATGCGAAGAAATAATTTTATCAAGAACACTTTAGGGAAATCTGGACATGGCACTTCAAAAGTTATATTTTGTGCTAACTCGAATAGATAAGAACCGATATTTTTTTCAAAACAATGAAGTTCAAAATTTTTAACAAATATTTCTTCTAATCTCTGAATATAATAATAAAAATCATTAGTTGGTATATTCAATTTATCAAATAAACCGTTTTCGTTTTCATAAGCTCGAAAGGAACAATATAGCGTTGTATCATCTAGGACAACATTATTTTCATTTACAAAATTTTTACATATATTACATGGATGTATTGCTATACATTTTTTAATTAAAAATCCGCAAACAAATTTCAATGCATTTTCCTCTGGCAGATCCATTGAGTAATAATCATGTACAGGAATATTTAAAATGTTATGCGATGGAATAAATTCTGAAACTGTGGCCTGTGTAATATTTGATGTTCCAATAATATTTAATAAATTATCGTTATTATTTGCACAATTTTGTGAGTTTGAATGCTTTCATAATTTAGCACTGAATAATTTTTTAAAAGCACGTTTAAACTGAATAGGTGTCGGATTAAGACAATTACCACCTTGTTGTCGAATAGTGCCAAAGAAATTTTCAAGACAATCTTGATTCAGTCTGCGTGTTCGAAGATACGAAAAATTATAGTTATTTTTTAAAGTATTCCAAAGTTGAATTGTACTCTTAATTGTGATCTGCCAGCAATCAAAGCATTTTACTTTTACATATTTACATTTATCATTATCCTTAATTACTTTAATACATTGTATAAAATTCAACATTTGTTCTAAAAATTGCATTTGTTTGTTACTTCCAATAAAAACTTTTCCATATTCTTTGGGGTTATTTACATTAAATGAATTTAATATATCAAATAATTTATCAAATTTATCAATTAACTCTATAGTTCCAACTGCTTCAGTTGGAAGAAAACCATAAGACATCTGCGTACACATGCCTGCAGCTACACGATTACTAAATACTTGCGCAGCATATTTCACTTTCATCCTTGCAAAATTACTCGGGTTAATGTGAGATTGTGTTAATTTAGGAGCTGTTTTTATCCACTGTTTGCTGTCTTTATTATAAAATTCTACGATATGAGCCCACAAAGCTATTTTATTATTTATTTGAAAATTGTGATTTAACAAATTGTTTCGCGTTGCTTTTAATAAATGTGGAGTGTCAAACATATAAAGCATGCTTTCTCCATCAACCACAAAACTTGTATTATCCACCGAAATATTTAACATCTGGGACAGTTGAATAAAATTAGAACCCATATCAGAAATAAACGCATGCACAAAAGCACCAATATTTTTTAATTTGATTATAATTTTGAAAATTAGTTGTTTTAAAAATGTTGCAGAACATGCAGTTTCTACAAAACAATAGCAAACGGGCACTTTCCAGTCTCCTGCAATGCTACGTGCCATTATAACTAAAGCACTTTTTGCGGGTATGGATGTTCTTCTATTACCAAAATTTTCAAAACCAATTATCTCATTCCGCGATACATTATAAAATAAATGACTCTTTAAGCTTATTTCATCTGCGCATATTATGCAATGACGCTCTATTATAGGTAAGGTATTTAATTTCATTTTAAGTGCTTCAAAAATTTTGTCATTTATATCAAGCATGATTTTCCATGTTTCTGTAAATAATTGTAGACAACGTACTGAAGGCAATTTAATTGTTTTCTTCAGTTCTTTATAATTTCTTGGACTTAAAAAATATAAAGATAAAGCAAATTTTTTAAATTCAGGATCGTATCTTCTGCCACGTTTGCTTTTGCTTTGTGCATCAATTTGTGCCATTAATATTTTATTAAAATTATGTGGTAATAGCTTACGGCCTAATTTCTTCAGCATTTCTCGTTCGTCGACTTCTTCTTTGCCTTGTATATAATTTTTAATTTCTTTTCCCTCAAACGAAGTCGCCGGACTTTTTCTCTGAGGGCTTTATTTTGCACCTTATATTGTGCGAGCTTCATTCGTAACTTCTTTTTTTTGGGCTATCCTCCGACGATTTGGTAGCCGCTTCTTTGGATATACTCCTGTAACAAGTACAAATTCATTAGGTATTTATTATAGATATAAGAAAAAAGACTTGTTATTGAATGTATACAACTATACGACAATAATTTGCTAACAAGACAAGCAAATAGCTAAAGTTACAATAACAAAATATATTTAATACATTATAAGGTATAATAAATTTTAAAACTTACGGTTTAACTATCTCAGCATCCACATTATTAGCTACAATTGGCAATGGTTCTTCACATTCCATATTGCTGAAAATATCATTTTTTTAGACATTATTCTTATTAAAAATAAAAAATATTGTTCATTACCTGTCTTTTTCCTTTGATATGATATCGTAACATTACAAAACAAATATTATAAATAATACGATTATAACGTAAAATAAACTATTAGATTATTAATACACTAAATATAATACATTAAACAATCAAGGACAAATGAGCCAAGAGCTGGGTATTGGTAGCAAAGAACAATGTATATTTTGAAAAGTATCCAAATGTTTCGGCTTACATTAAGCCATCTTTAGTAGATCATTACAATTTAAATATTTAAAATATAACATAATCACAAGTTTTAATACATATTTACGCAGATTTTCTAATGTTCGTCATACATCGTTATTAATATGGAAAAATTAAAACATATTTACGCAAATTTTTTAATTTTTGTCATAAATCGCACAAGTAGTTCTTTGGAAAAATTTACAGAAGTATAATGCGCTTCGTACTGTCTTTGATATATACATGTCGTCGTTGTATTATACTCAAGTCACAGTTAAGCAGATAAGAGTTAATATTGACTGGATTCTCACTCTTATCTTCTTGACTGTGACTTGGGTTTAATACGACAACGTATATATATCAGAGACTGTACAAAGCGCATTATACTTCTATCAGAAAATATGCGTAAATATGTTTTAAAAGTTGTGATTATATTTTAAATATTTAAATTGTAATGATCTACTGAATATAGCTTAATGTAAGCCAAAACATTTGGATCCTTTTAGAAATATACGTTGTCCTTTGCTACCAATACCCAGCTCTTGTCCCTGATTGTTTAATATGTTAATATTTATTTTATTGAATATATATCGTTGCTTTAATTTAAATATAATTTAAGTTAAATAAAATAGTTAATTATATAACTTACTCATTTGTTTCTTCTCCATTTGTCATCTCGCCTTCCATTTCATTCGCGTACCCGTCTTTCTCCTCTGATGACTTATTTGTTTCTCCTTCTATGTTTCTGCAAGAAAAAAATATAATTATTATAATATAATATGATACCGTTACATTTTAAAATAAATATCAGAAATAATTTAATAAAAAATATTATAAATTTATAAAATATCATTATAAAATAAACTACCGGATTAATACATAATACACAAATAAAATAGTTGAATACAAAATTTTTAAATATAACATACCCATTTGTTTCTTTTCCATTTTCTGTTTTGTCTTCTTTTTCAATTGTGGTATCTCTGAAAATAGATCGCATTCAATTACTTTTTGATTTTTTAAATTATTCGTAATAATAATAAAAAAGAAAATAAATATATTTGTTTTCCTCTAATGTCATCATTGTTATTAAAATGAGTATGTAAAGCCAGCTAGACTATGCATTTACTAAGAAAGACTAATAAATTAAATTATAGATAGAAACTCACTTTTGACAATCTGGCCCAAAAAATATCGTTGGTATGGCATCTGGATGAAGACGAGCTCTTATTTTATTTATGTTGTACCACTTCTTCTCAAAATGTAAATGGCACAATTTACAATTACGGTTGGCATATTCTGGGCCTTTTGGTTCCAAGTCCAGCCTTCCACATGCTTGAATCTATTGCAACCACCTGCAAATTACATATGAATTACAAATATTTTATCAATAAAAATATGAAAATGAAAATATGATTTAGGAAAAAATAATGAAAACATTACCTGTCATGTTCCTTAGGAAATTTGAAAAAATACCGGTCTTCTAAATCATCTTCAAATCTTGTGCATTCTGGTACTGCACACCATGCGTATTGTTTCTTAGCCATTTTCTAATTTTATTCTTCAAATTTTTTGGAGTTGCACAGCAACACCTAAAACAGAGCTAAGATCAAAGTGCTCTTCCAAGAGAAAATAGAAAACTTATATAAAATTTATATTAATTAACTATTTTCTCAAAAAGAAATCTTTCTCGCTCGGTTTTTCCGGAAAAGTCACTTTTCCACTTATTCACTTTCACTTTTCACTTTGTCACAAGAATTTCTGCTCTGAATATACACTGGTCTAATCCGTTTATACTCTAGAAACAAACGTTTAAAGGGAACATTGCAACGGTCATTTAAATAGAAAAAGAGCAACAAACAGAGAAAGTGAGAAAGAAGATCACGTGACAGTACAGGCCATCAGGGCCACCTTATCTATTTTGCGCATGCGCACTCCGTTTTGGACCTCATAAAATCAGGAGAGTTGCGCTACTGTATATGCTGTGCTTCAAGCTTGAAAATGAAAAAAGAATTTTCAATTACAATCATTTTTAGCGGAGTTATGTTTATTTGAAATTATCCAAAATGTTGACTAAACATACATATGCGTTAATTTTGTTTGATAATGTTTGTTTCAGTAAAAGGAAAACCGCTCGATAGACACGAGTTGACAATAGGTCAAGAGACACGGTAGTGCCTCTCGCCTAGTTGAGGCAAAGTTGTTTGTTATAATAAAAAAGAAAACCGCTCGATAGACGCGAGCTGACAATAGGTCGCAGACGTGGCTGCAAACGTGGTTGGAGAAATATAATTTATATCAAAATTTAATATAAAAAAAATAATGTAAAACTTATAATAACTTTTCTATTGTTAATATAAAATAAATAAGAAAATGAATGAAAGCTTATAATATAATAAATAATATAAATATTATAAAGATAATAGCTCATAATAGCACTTGTAATGGTGATGTTTAGTGATAAATTATCAAATTCTTTTGACTTTCTTTAAATTATTTTTTATTATTTTTAATCACGTTTTTATATTTTACATTCTTTTTATACACAAAAGACATTTTCTACTCTTTTTCAATTAATTAACGAATCAATTAAATTTGACCTAGTCTGTGTATGTACAAAGGCATTACAATTTAGTACGCAATATACGTTATACATAGGGCGCAAAGTTTGGGAAGAGCGCGTATAGATACATGGGATGCCTCGCATCACTGCACGTGGCCTTGACATTACTTTTGATATTGATTTTTCTGGTACAGCTGATTTTATATACATACTGTAGGTTTACGAGCTTAATTTATTTTAAGACGAGAAAAGAAAATTCACATAAGGAAATATTCTATAAATTTCGGCTTTATTTTATTCTACGAATTAAGAGCATTCTTTGCGTGAATTCGGCGGTCTGTGACCTCGAGGTTTCAGAAGAGACGATTTATAATCACATTACAAATTTTGCGAGTCAATCAAGTAATGACACATTCAACACTCGGCGGTAATGAAATCGCGCGATTACCCGTTGCATGTCAAAACAAGAGTACAAATTGTTTTGAAAATAAGTACATTATAGGCAGAATAATAGGTACACAAAAGAAACAATACATAAACCAATAAAGTAGTGCGTCTATATGTGCGTCTAATATAGTTTTTCCCGAATGATGTTTGATGTTATAACTAAATTCCTCTAGCTGTAAAGCCCATGCACGCATAAATCTTTTTTTACTTATGATTAAACTGAACGCTTTACAATCTGTTATTATTTTAAAGGATATACCTATTAAATACACGCGGAACTTTTTCAAAGGTTTTATAATTGCAAGCACATTGAGCTCATAGCTACTGTATTTTTCTTCCGCCGAAGTCGTACGGCTGCTTACATAATATACGGGATGCAATAGATTATTATCATATTGTAATAAAATAGCGCTATAGCCGTATTTTGACGCATCGGTATGAAGTTCGATGGTCTGACGTTTATTTTAGGATATTTTAAGAATAAGTTTATTCACCAGAGCAACTTTTATCTTGTTAAACGCATTTCTTTATTTTCCCTCAAATTGGAAAACAACATTCTTTCTTCCCAATAGGTTGACCAAGGACCGCGCAATAAATAAATAACCACTAATACATTTTCGGAAATAACCGGATAAACCCAAAGCTCTTTGAACTTGCTTTATATTTCTCGGCTCGGGAAATCTCGTAACCGCGTTTATTTTCGCTTCCGACGGTTCCAATTCTATTTCCTGTCCCAGAAACTTTACTTTTGTTTTTAAAAAATAGCATTTATTCCAGTTGCTAGTCCGGATTTACTCGCCCTGTTACTCCGCTTAAGTTTTTCTAAAACCTTCCCGTAATTTTCAGACGACACAATAGTCGTCCATGTATGTCAGTTAATAAAATCTTGAAAAGTAACGTTTACAAATTTTTGAAAAACTGCCGGTAAATTGCACAAGCCAAATGGCATTTTTAAAAATTCGTACCTAGTCCATCAGACGTAATAAATTCCGTATATTTGCGGCTATCTTCGTATACTTTGACATGAAAAAATCCATTTTCAAGATCTAAGGTAGTAAAGATTTTCGCATTCTGCAGCCGATCCAGCTGATCATCGATCAGCGCGGCAGGCGATAGCAGTCTTTACAATCTTTTGATTTAGTCGCCGGTAATCTACGCATAATCGATACGCCGTTCCTTTTTTTTACCAAGATCACGGGCTCGCATATCAAGAGACACGGTAGTCTCGCGCCAAGTCAAAAAACGACGCTTTGCGCAGCGAGGCACACCGTGTATATAACGCGAGTCTGACATCTGAGAACATCATATATTTCAATTATGCAATAACGGCTGAAGCGATCGAGTTCTTATTATGCTCAATCGATAGATTAGGTTTGAATTATAAAAGAAAGTGCCTTTATTTTTCTCTATGTGCTTTATTAACGGAGATATTATAATCTAAACTTTGTTTTTCTCAAAAATTGTTATAAATTTTGGTCGTCGTCGTCGACCTTCTCAATGCGCATGTATTTGAAAATGTCCATTTCGAGCATTTATTGCAAGATAGCGTTGATGTCGCTCCATGAATGATGTTTTGACACATTGTGATTGACATAGGTTCAGTTTAACCTACATACATAAATTGAAACTTTTGATTTAGTTATTACCAAATTAATTATAAAACTAATTCTTATTCTTTTCAGGGAAATATTGTATTCATAAATACACATATGAATTTTGTGTGCTAGTATCTTGATATCTTACACAAAACTATGCAAATTTAAAATATAACTCTTATCTCAGTTGAATATATGAGTAAAATCTAATAATACGTGGATACTAAATCCAAAATTAGGATACAATTTATAATCTGTTGTATGGTGGTATGTGGCAAAATCTATCGATGATATATATGGGAACACAATGGTATTTTACTGGCAAATGCAACAAGGGTACAGGATATACACACATTCTCTGACATTATTTTATAACTTTTAAATTAAAAAATTTAATAACATTACATTAAACATTTATAACTAATCGATTAATATATATACATATATTAATATTGTAGAGGAAGATTTTGAGAAATTGTTGAGTTAGCTACAGAAAGATTTAGAAATCTGACAGAAAAGTCTATTGATTCTAAATATGTATATTATCCAAGCTTACGTCAAGATTACAAACTAAGTACGGTACACAAGTATTTACACAAATATTGAAGGTTTTAGATTTCTTAATTTTTATTAATACTATTCATATTTGATAATTTTATAAATATTTCCTTCTTTTCTTGCTCTTATAGTGAACCTTTATTAGCGAATAAAATATCTCATTGGATAAAATTGGCATATTACTATAAGAATCACGTGGAATGGTCATCAGAATGACAAATTTGAAGTAACAAAAATTCGTATACCAAAAGGTGTTATTTTTCTTGAAAAGAAGATGCAGTTACTCTATTTCGCGAGTT